CGAATTCGAAATTGAATAATTTTTTGGTTTGCGCTCTAATCTAAGTAATGTGCCTAATTTCTGCCTTAAAGACCAGGTAGGAAATCATAGGAAATCATATATTTCAGTCAAACATGAGATTTGAAATGCAAATGGCTAAATGAACTAGCTTGACCAGTTTAACAGGGAACCACTCGATTGTCACGCGTTCTTCCGGATTTGCTTCCACGCGGCTGATGTAATGCACAACACTTCCACACATCCACAATGTCCTCAAAACATTCAGTAACCACAATCGGAAAGTTGATTCAGAAGTGTCTCAAGGAGGCTTATCTTTTGCCGCAGAAACCGTCGTCGTATTCTAAGGGATATCGATTCCTAAATGATAGGAAATACCGCACGTACGATTGCCCGCCTAGCTCCCTGAATTTCGATCGTCTTCTGTATCCATTTCGTCATCTTCCTGCCGCGGGAAATGAGATTCCCATAATAATGGAGTGCAAACCGCCAGATTATCTGCAACAACACTGGAGACGATGGCTTCCCGCTTTTCCTCCACCTGTAATTAAATCGCTGGACGAAGGACTACAAGACGATATTCCAGTTGTAACGGTGGCACCGTTTGAAGCCATCCCGGAAGAAAAACAGAGCGTCCACCCTGACATTTTATATAAACTGCAGCTCAAGAGTTCGCTCCTGGAAATCGGAGTTCCCTGTCCCAAGCACATGGATATAAACTCAGTTTCTTTCCCCTGCACAGTGAAAGCCGACTTGACTCAAGGCGGGCGAGGAAATTGGCTGGTCAAAAACGAAAGTGAGTTATCTGCAACACTGAGACAAATCCGAGGGGTATGCCAATGGAAGGATGAGATTGTATTCCAGGAATATATCCCTGGGGTAAAGGAAGTTCCTAGCTTTCAGTTTAATCTGCATAAATCTGGGGAGCTTTTTTGGGTGGGAACTACAATTGGCGGATTCACTTCAAGTGGACTCACCTGCATAAGCAGTTCGGTTGACTGGGACAAGCAACAGGAATACAGAGATCTTGTCCATGAAGAATTTACCATACCAGTTAAAAATTACCTTCACAAGCATGGCTACTTTGGTCTTGTGACCTTCGAGGTTTTAATCACAGACCACGGAAAGTACCTCATTGATATCAACCCAAGGATTAGTGGCGATACAACACATTTACTAGTGGCTCCTTATATTGCTTCAGAACTTGGCCTGAAACATTCCACAGTATTTCTGAAGAATAAGCACTACAACATGTCAGCTGAAAAGTTGATTGAGAAGGCAGACCAAAACAATGAAAAAGGCGAGTCAATTATTGTTGTACTTTCAACATTTGATGCAGACAAGGGCTGTGAATCTTATATGTCCATTTTTGCCAGGAGCCCTGAAGAGGTTCAACACCTATACCACCAGATAAACAACTGATGATGATTAAGTAAACGTGAGTTTTATGAATTATATCAAAAAATTAACATCATGTATAGTTTAACCCCCCTTTTGACCTGGTTATTACAACTACAGTTTCTACTTATCCCTGCACTACTGGTACATCTTTGTGAGGAGAGGTGGGGGTTAGGAGAGCTTATGACAGAGGGGGCTTATAGCCTGAATGGAAAAAGCACTTCAAAACAAGCTTTAGTAGTTCGGATCAAATCATGTTTTGCATTTACTGGTTTTTACTGCGCTTTTCACAAACATGCGAATTCTGAAGTTCAATAGCCACCTGACGATTGCGTTTTTCGCTGCTGTGAATCATCTTAACGGACCAAGCTATAGGGGGGCTTGGATGTATTTTCTTGTTTACATTAGTCTACAGGCTAATAACCAGGGCCTTACAGCCCGGGAGAGTTCTCATATAAAGGTGAAGGGGATGCTTGTCGTCTCGCATATGGGGTGTGAATTGCAAATTATGGTATCACTTAGGGTGTCTGGGACAGAAAGTCACTATATTTACCCATTCATGTATTGCTTAGGCAGGGGTTTCAATAAAAATTGAAGTAGCCAGCAGGTTTGAATAGAATACCCGACTGTATCAGCAAGAGGCCATTTTTCCCATACCTCTAGGGGGGTCTGAGAGCATGCTCCCTCAGAAAACTTTCAAATTTCAAAGCCCTAAAATGGGATTTCCAGCATTCTGGGGACTAAAGTGAGCATGAAAGAGTGTGTTTTTCATTCAAGAAAATGTAGCTTTCATTCAACTTCTGATCAGCCACGCAACTTACAAGCAATGAACAAACAAACATTTGAAGGAGAATAAATTATGTGTAAACCTCCAAAGAAACTTGTGAAGAATTGACTGAAATACAGCATTTGCATTAAACTAAAGCATAAATAAATACCAGTGGGCCTTTACGTTTTCATTCAGATTTTATGATATGTTATTTGCTTACAACATCATAAGCACTAGTTGCTTCAGTACTTTCGGGGAGAAAAGTAGCCAACTTCTCTGATCAAAATAACCGAAATGTTTCGTTGGTCATCGGTGCTTATTGAAACCCCTGCTTAGGGTTGTGCATAAAGAAATTTACAAAAAAGCTGTGACACCGACCACAAACAAATCTAACTTTTAAAAAAGACCAAGACATCCCCACAATGACCCAAATCTATCTAGATGTCGTGGTTTATAGTCTTCTTCAGGGGTCAATTTGAGTCACACCCACATTGGTCTCCTTTAGGGGTTTAATTTAAATTTTCCGATAAGCATCCCTGTTACTTTTATACGGGAGTCCCAGTGGAGCTTACCACTGGGTGAAGGGGGGCTTAGAAGTGGCAGTTTACAGTAGAACCTTTTCGAACATCTTGCTGCTGCCTAGCTTAATTGTCATTAAAGGTGGCTCGACTGTAGAATGACCCTGAAGCATGACTGTGGTCTGCTTGGTGTCAGACCTCTATCTAATTCAGTTGAATGAAATACAAGCTGTTTTCGAAAAACGAAAATATTAAAAAAGACATTTTAAATTCACTTTTAAAATGTATTGCATTGTGATTGATGAATTAAATTTGGCATGGCAAAAACACAAATGAATTTAAATGTCAGGAGCCTAAAAGGCCAGTTGCACTGTACCAAATATTGTGTTATTAGTATATCATTATGAACACTATTGAAATGTAATGATGTGCCCAGCTTTAAAGTTATGTGTATTTATAATAATATTGAGTACAATTATTATGAATAATGGAAATACAGGCATTGCCTCGCAAGATTTCAGCATATTTAAATTTAAAAAGCTTATGCCAACTACAGACTACCAGCAAGAGCAG